AAACATCATTACATAAAAGGGTATGGTCTTTTTTTTTTTTAGTTTTATTCATTTCAAACAGGCCGGATCCGGCCCGCGGGCTGTAGTTTGCCCACGGCTGCAGTATCCTCTCTGAAATTGATTACTGCACTGGGGTCCTGGAACTGTGTCATTAGGCTCCAGGGCACAATTAAGTGGTTGCTAACTGCTGACTGCCTTAACCCCCTGAGAGGTGGAGCATGACCTCTACCTGGTAAAGGGAGGGGTTTGGAGTCCGGTACTTTGTTTCCTGTTCCCTCCAGACTCCTGACCCCAGCCCAGGCTCTGCAGAGGCACTGCAGTGCGGCTGCAGCATCCAATGAGCTCTGGTTGCTGCCAAATGCGAGATGCAGACAAAGTGTCTCAGCTCATTGCCCTGCAATGGGCCTAGAAGGGAGCCAGAGGCTGCTGCCAAGAGCCAGGATGGGTGAGAGAGGAAGAAAGGAGGGGGCCCATCAAGGAGGGTAGACTGGAAATGCCCTCAAAGGTGCCTCGTAATGGGACTCTACTTAAGGCCTGCAAGGGGATAGAAAGCAGGCGGCTGGCTTCTTGGCTAATGGCTTTTGCATCCACCCCCTCAGTCATGCCCAGTTACATAAGCAGCAGCTAGGTCTGGGGATGGGAATGACACAGTGATGCCACTCACCATGGCCTGCTCAATCTTGTTGTCTAAGGCCACCACGCTGGCTCCAGAGGCACTGTCAAGACAAAAAGCAAAGCAGCCGTGTTAACCACCTCACTTCCACTCTGAGTACCTGGTAGCTGTGGCCAAAGTCCTCCATCTGCCCCAGCTCTTCTGTCCCGCCTCCCTGGCCCGGATTTCCAGGCACTTTGTCCCCAGGTCCCGTCTTGACCACTGCAGGAAGCTGCACCTCCCCACCCAGGCCGGCTCCCCGCCGCCACCGCCCAGAACTGGCGTGTAGCGGTGCTCAGTCCCGGGGCGCGTGGACCAGCATGGCCTGTTCGCTAGCCTGGGAGCGGGCAAACAATGGGGCTTGCGACCCCGGGAGTTCCCCGCCAGAGGCCCTTTTCGGCTCTGGCCCAGAAGGTCCCAAGTAAACCTACCGAGCTCCGAAGCTAGCTGGGAATTCCTTCTGGGCTTGGAAGCTTCCGGCCTGCTCCCCAGCGGCACCCAGCGCACAGCCAGACCCCCGCCCAACCCTGCCCGCCGCCCCTCTGCCTCTGGCTGCCTCAAGGGCAGGGAGCTGGCTCTGCCTCTGGCTGCCTCAGCCTCGGGCTGCAGCAGCTGTTCTCACGGCGCAGGGGCCGCAGGGACGCTCCAAAGGCGGATCCCGGCGCTGCAGTGACAACCCCCCTCCGCGTACCCTACCCCCTCCCCTTCCCAGGATGCTGCACCGCGGGGAACCAGGACCAGAGGCGCGCCGCTAGCTCAGAGGTCCCGCTCTCAGCTTAGGTTCCGCCTGTGCCCGCTAGGGAGCTTTGGCCAGTAGTTTACCTGTTATCCAGCTTAACGGAAACCACATCTCCTCCAAGCAGGGAAGAGAAGAAGGAGATGTTGAAATTGTGCAGCTGGTAGACAGCCACCTCCATGGGGGTCTGATACATTTCGGTGTT